GATCGTGTTAGATTACATGTGGAAGCGTCTGTTGTTTCGGTTTCTTCTTTACTTGTGTTTTTGGAAATTCTGTACAGAAAATGTGTACTAGCGTGCCCTACAGTATAACAATGAAAACACGGATTCTAGGAACACATTAGGCTATAAGTCAAGTATACTTAAATGTAATTTTAAGTATATTTCTGGGAAGTACATAAAGCCCATTTCTGAGAAGTACATAAAAAGTAGACTATAAGTATACTTTCCTATTTTTTAGTTTAAAAGAAGTATACTAATACTAAAGGAAGATTGATTTGTTGCTAAAAGTTGCTAAATGACGCGATGTCATTGCGTAATCACGATGCAAAATTGTGTCACTGCATCAAATCTCAGCAAAAAAATTTTTTTTTAATTTAGATGTGTTTATAAAATAATAAAACTGCATAATATAATATTAAAATATAAATAACTAATTTTAAATACAACATTGAATTATTTAACACTTCGTCATAAATATTCCCCTTTTTAGAGCTAATAAATAATAATAAACGTTACATATACTAATAGCACACTTGAATAAACTTCTTTTTCGAAGGGTATATCCAGTCAGAAATGTCATATAACTATTTACCTCTTGATTATTATATTATATTATATTATATTATATTATATATACCAGTACAACTTATCACTTCAGCTTCAGTTCAGCTTATCAATTCAAAACAGAGAGTGATTTACGTGTGTTGTTGAGAAGAAAGAACAGAGGAGAAGACAGAAGTTTTTCCCCCTCAGCTACCAGCATCTGTTAGAGATCCCACCCAAACTCACCTCCCGACTGCAGCACGGGCATCCGATAAACACACACACACACAGAGAGAGGGAGAGAGCGAGAGAGTCACACATTTATGCAGAGCAGAGGGTCAAGACAGTCCGAACCGTGCGCTTCTCTTCATTACGCACAGAGAAATCACACAGAACACAACCCACACCGGCGCCACCGAGCTCACATCAAGAGCTGTGAAGGGACGGGATCTAAGGAAATAAGCGTCACATTGGAGAATCAATCGGGTCTAAAGTGAGTTTTTGTGGATTCGGTGCGTCTGGAGAGCTGTGAGGATGCGCGTCTCGGTCCTGCTGCTGCTCTGCGCACTTTACGCAGGAGAAGCGCACAAACTCTCCGCGCTCACGGTGGGTCACCACACACTTCACTATCAATCTATAATCACTCACATTAACAGAACGATTGTTTATGAACAAATATTAATAGTCTGTATGTAAAAATATGTGTCTTATAACATTTCTGACTCTGACTGTTTCAATGTTCTTTAGCAAGGTCCAGTAATACTATGGATATGTATGTACTATATAGCATTCTATTACTATTCTATTACTATATATAACTAACATGATGTCAAAAAAAAAACAGCAAAAATTACTCTTTAGGTGTATACACTACAAAATGTTTTACCTGGTAGCCTTTTTGTGGCACCCTGTTTTGTCATCAGAGCCAGAATTAATTTTTATTGGACAAGTATGTTTTGTGTTTTTCACCCAAGGACAGTAAAAGTGGCAGATTGATATGGGGCTTTGTGAGTTCGGCTGCAGACTCAGTGCATCTTTGTGCTTGTGCTTTTGTTAAACAAGAAGCTTGAGACACTATGTAAGGTGAGATGAGTAATCATGAGAATCCTATTTGGGCTTAAGAGTAGTGATGTTTGTGCACTCGCAATTCAGGAGGGTAACCAGAAATCCACAAGCTTTCTTTCAAACAATCACAGACACAGACACACAGACACACACACACACACACACACACACACACACACACACACACACACACACACAGGTTTGTTTTTATGGTTTCTGGGGGCTCTCTAGCGGCGTCGGGGTTTTTATAGTGCACACAGCGTAT